GTGTGTGTGTGTGTGTGTGTGTGTGTGTGTGTGTGTGTGTGTGTGTGCCTTGACCATCCTTTTGAATTTAAAACGTTCCAATTAGTAAATCCAAGCCTATCTGTATGTGTTTTTTGTTTTCCTTTTAATATTAGTTGATATTTAAATAGAAGAGTGCAGAAGCAAATGTATACTTTGCTCATAGACTATTGCATTACTTTCCCTAAGGGCTTTTGTTTCTAGGAGTTCAAGCTGAAAAGAACCTGTCAGCTTTCTTGGATTTTTTTTTTGTTGTTGTTGTTGGATCTAGCACCAGAGGAAAGCTCCACTTTATAGCTATGTTAGGTAACAGCAGAAAATAGTGTTTATTTATTTGTTTTATTGGAATCTGTCTTTTTGTAAGTGGTGTACTTACGAGTTATCTGAAAATAATGTAAAAGAGTGTGGTAGTTGGGCTATACTGGTTTTCTTTCTAGTTATTTTAGGTTCAAGCATTATATATTAAACATCTGTTCATAAAACCTAGAATTCATGTTGATTTTTCTATCTGTAAGTAACATGTCAAGAAAATGATGAGTTGGTGTGTATTATACTTACAAAAAGATAAGAGCAAGCACAACCTAAGTGTCTTAAATTGCAACCAGGTCAGTTAGAGATGAGTTGTGGTAGTGGGAGAGATTCTGTTACATAATTACTCCTTGATGAAGAGCTATTTGCACTTACATAATTTGAGAAATCATAATGTCTATTGCCATGTTTCCATATTCCCCCCCATTCCCCTCACATGGATGTACTTTCATGTATTTGAGAGTAAAGGGAAAAGCAAATTGAGAACTTTCTAATGAAGCTACACCATGTCTTGGGTAGTGACGTTGCACTTGTCCATTTTATTTAGTGAACAATAAACCCCTATTATCAGAATATCCACTGCAGGATCTTAAGACAAAGCTTTTCCAGTAAGAGCCATATTGATCATCAAAGAATCACAAAGATAGTCTCTCTGAATGCCAAAATTACAGTCACTTTGCAAATGAGTTTTTATTGTTTTTTTCTTCTTAAAATAATTTTCATGAACACAGAGCTTCAAAGGTTTTTCTGTAGAGGTGTTCACAACAGCTGTACAGCAATGCATTTATAGTATATATTTTAAAGGTGTGCCATGAAATTAAACATTGTGGTGATATAAAATGATGCTTAAATCATAGAAACTCTACCAGCTTGTCAACTCAGTGAGTTTTGATACTATGGAAAATGGGTTTAATTATTTTGTGCCTTGAAGCTTTTATTTTCTTTAAAAATCATTATGTTGTATAGCTCTAAGGCCTTCAAAGGAAAGATGCCTATTTTTGTAGATCTATAAGTATTTGATTTCACGTAGTAAACTGAATGAGTGTTTATTTGCTGTGATCTTGAGCTTGAGAAAATGCATTTCCAAAACATACTACTGAAAATTTTACCCATGCATGACCCTGTCTTTATTTAAGCCTCACTTCTTCTTAAAGCTGTCTAGGCAAATATATTTGTAATGTTTGTGTGGTTAACTATGCATGTCTCTTACAGGGTTCTCTGGCTGCCGTGGCACTCAATCAAACCACCTAGAATGGACTGGCCGAGACCAGACTGGGTACCAAGCAGAGAAGTGCAGAGGAAGGCACTGGGAGAGCACCAGGTAAACTGAAGGCTACTTGTCACTCCCACTTGTGCCCAAAGAGCCTTGCCACATCTTCCCTCCTCACTGGGAAGACAGCACTCTTCTTCTGTGTTAAGTATTTGGTTTTGTGATTTGTCTTTCAGAATTGGAAATAGAGCGGCCATTTGGATTTGGGCAGGAAGCAGCCGAGCACAGCTTTGGATCCTTCTTTAGGGAAATCGAGTTATGGATTTATGGTCCCGGTCAAGCTCAGCCCATCCCCAGCCAGGGGCGGGCTCAGCGAGCAGCAAGAGTTCTGGTGGCGGCGGCGGCGGCAGTAGCAGCGGCAGCGGTAGCAGCGGCAGCGGCAGCCTGGTCCTCTGACTCTCTTCGGTGACGGGTATTCTTGGGTGGATAATACGGATTACGTTGTTATTGCTTAAGAATACGCGTAGTCGAGGAGAGTACCAGCGGCAGGGGGGCAGCGGTCGCCCTCCCCAGCCCACCAGCTGGCCACTAAACGCCCGTGGTTGCCAAGGTAGCACTTTCTTGTTCTTTTCCTTTCCTCGGGTGTTTTCGCACTGGTTCCACCAGAAAGGCTGTGCGCCGCGCCTCCGGTGACCAGGACTGTAAAATGGGTTCGCGCAGGGGGCGGGGGGCGAGGGGCAGGAGATGGGCGGGGAGAGGAAGGGGGTCCTGCGGGGCGATTCCGCCTTCCCCGCCCGCTCCTCTCCTCCCCACGGTGGGGTGCGGCTCGGGGGAGACACGCGGACGGGGCGATTTTCTGAAGTTGGGAATGACTGAAAGGCCTTGAGCAGTTTGGGAACGTCGCGAGTGAGGCGCCGAAGCTGGGCAGAGGGTCGCCGTGGGCGGCCTCCACAGAAAGGGCGTGTCCGTGGGCGAAGGTGCCCCCGAAAGCCTGCGGAAGCGCGTGACTTCGCGAATCCCGGGCCCGGGGCGGTGCCAAAGCCCCACCCCCGGCCGGCCGCGCCGCTTAGCAGTCGCACTTGGCCGCCAAGCTGGGGAAGGGGCGGGGGCCTGGGGGCTGGGTCCCCGCGGAACTTCCAGATCGGAAGTGTGGCGGGTCTCTCAGGAACGCATATTTTCTTTTCCGATTCTCCGAGGAGGGGTGGAGAAACAGGATGGGAACCGGATTGGCTGCAGTGTGGCACAAACCTGGAAGCTTCTTGAAAGAGGTTGGGGCAGGCAGTGACTGTTCAGACGTCCAGTCTCTTTGGGACACCTCTTCAGCGCTGTCTTCCCTGCCTCTGCCTTTAGGACGAGTCTCAAACATCAACAAACTCAAGGCACGTCCCCCTCTCAGGTCAGCTGCGAAGGGACGGGAGCAAGAGAGAACCTCTCCCTCCTTCTACTTCCAGTTTTTCTGTGTTTGTTTGTTTGTTCCAAATATTAATGGACGATGAAACAGCACGGATTTTTCACCTCCTAGAGAAGAGGAAGCCATGGCCACCAACCCCCTCAAACATGCACTCTTGGGGACAATCCTGGGGAACCTGGGGACAATCGGACTTGGCAGGAGTTGGCATGTCCAAGATGGGGCTGGAAGGATGACCCGGAGTGGAAGGCGTGGGCCAGGGCTCCAGGTCTCAGCTCTCCCGGCGTCGGACCACACAGCTTTGCCACCTTTGCACCTGGCCTTTCCCTCTTGTGAGCCATCTGGGACCGTCCCATCGAGGCGCTTCAAAGGTGGGAGAACTGAGTGCTGGGGACTAGAACGTACCGGGCGCACAGAAGATTCCACTAGCGCGGCCAAACACTAAGCAGGTTTCCTCCCTGCGTGGTGATCGTTGGTTATGCACGGGCTGCGCAAGAAGACTAAATTCCTGATAAGTGGAAACTGCAGGAGAAAAATCTTAAACTTAGAGGCCTGAGAAGCTCTCCCTCTCGTCGCTCTGGGACCGCTCTAAGCTGAGCTTACCTTCTCCCCCTGGAGGACAGGCCTTTCCCAGGAACGAAGTGAATGTGCCCCACTGGGCTCTTGCCACAAGAGCAGTCTGAACCCTGGAGAGACTGACACCGAGGTGACTTCAAGGAGACAGGCACACTCTCATGCTTCACCATCTAGGGTTTCGCCTTTCTTCTAACATTTAGGATTCCCAGTGAAGGGTACTCCACACACACCCTCTCCCTACCCCTAATCCCACTCCATTGTGTCTGATCCCACAATTACTCCCAGGTTATCTCTACTCAGAGCTTTTGCGCTCAGTGAACGTTGTTGTCTGCAGGGAAAACGGGTGGAGCCCTTCTCGGAAGCTCCCGGGGGCGAGTCCATTTTAAGAATTAGTTGAAGTAGGAAAGAAAACACAGATGCTGTCTTCGCATTCGACATTTTATCATCAGCAAGAGAATATGTAACTCCTGTTCTTTCCTTCATTGTTCCATGAATTACCTTCTTTCTCTAGGGATCCACCAGTTGGTGATTTGGGGCTTTTAAATATTGTGCTTGTTATGTGTTTGAAAAAATGCAATATGTCTACTGGTGGCATTGTTTCATTGGGAAATTAGAAAAGTAGAGAGAAGCTACATACTCTAGTTCTTAGGTGGTCCCTGGAAAGTTGGCCTCATGCTGGTTGGTTAAATAGTAAGTGTTTAGGATTTGAAAGGAGGAAAGAGAGCCGAAGGCCTGGTGACAGTTTGTGAGAAGCAGAAGATGTAGTAATCTGGCATTTGTTGAGGGGATGAGGAAGAACTTTTGAAATATAAGCTATTCTATTCAGTTTTTTGCAAATTTATTGTAGTCGCTTCATGGAAGAATAATAATGTTTAGAATAGAATAATTGCAAATAAATGCTAGTGATGAAATCTAAAGGAAACCTCTACTCATAGTTAACAGAAAGTATTTTGATTGTTTTTGTTTAAATACTTACCTCATTGCTTCCTTTCCTTTGCAGAATTATTTTCCTATGAAAGTTTCCATTAGGTGTCAGTCTGACTGAACTGGTTCTTATTTAAGTTTCGGGGGGGGGGAATGTTCCATCATCAGACCTTTTAAGATAAGAAAGTGGGAAAAATTAAAACTTTATTAAATTGAAATTACTGGAGTTAATTTTTCTTGTTACAAGGCAGCTTTTTTCTTCCCAGAAAAAAATAATGTTAAACTACATCACCACTAGTCAATTATTGCTTTTGCCTTGTCACTGTTATAGCCAAGATTAAAGAAGCATAAAACTCTTGTTTGTGCTTTTCATGCTAGATCCAAGTAGTATTAAGTAATCATAATTTTTGGATGGCTTTTCCATTGATGTCCAAATACTAGAAGGGTAAGCAGCCTTTTCTAATATTTGTTTTGCTTTACAAAGGTGATAGAAAGTCTTCCTGGAAAAAAGAGAACATGGATTCAGCTTAGATTGTCCATTTGACAATACTGAGGGCATAGTAAAGGAGGAGGGAGACAAATTGTGAAAATTACTTTTGTCCACTAGTTTTGCTTTAATAAAGCCTGCCTAAATACTCAGAATCTATGGACATAATTTATGATGTATAGATGGAAGATCTTAGGGTGCCCACTGAAATTTATATAATGTCTATAAAAGGTCAATTTTCTACTGTAATATTCATTAATAAGTATAAGAAACACCATCTTGAATGATCATTTGCTACTGAGTCTCAAGTAAGTAGTTTTATAGAAACTGCATTTTTCAAAAAATTTGCTTATTTCATTCTTTGTATTTGTGAATCCTGTTCTGATGTTGTTGCTTGAATAGAATTGCAGGCAGTGGTGGTATTCATGGTTAAAAATCCATAGAGCATCATGACAACCCCATGAACTTTCTCTGGGGCCATTGTGAGCCCTAGAATGATGTGGTTCTTGGTGTCACCGCAGTGCCAATCTAGAGCCAGAACAGGGATTCCAGTGAAAGTCCAAGCAAAGGCAAGCAATGACGAAGTAGCATTTTGATGGAAGGAATATTCCACAAACCCTATTATCAATTTTTGTCTTATTATATTCCATATTAGTAATGATAAATTTTCAAATATAAAAATAGACAATGAAGGTAGAGATGATGGATATATTGGGAAACATTTTTGTGTTTTATAGGACAGAAAAGAAGTACTAAGGACACAGAAGGAAAGACAGCATAAGGCCATCACAATTGTTCACCATCTTGTCAATTCTGTACAGGTGCAGCTACCATTGTATCACAGAAATGACAGAATGATGTTCTTACCATGTTGGAAAGTAGTATATTTGGCATAGGAGACTTACTATTTAAAAGTAAATTTCTTTTGGATATATTTTCAGTAAGAAGGAAAAATATAATAATGACATCAGAATATTTAAAGACAAATTATTTCATTTAGCTATTGAATTTAGTTATTGGTAGCTATACAACTATAAACACAAGTGCTAAATAGATTTTAAGCAAATGGTTTTGTAGTACAATTTGTTTTTTAAATGTTTTCAGATTTTTTAAATCATGACTTATAAGTCTTGCATTTAAGTCTGGAAAACATTTTACATGAGTGTATAAAATAAACATTTTAGTTGCAGAAACACTGCAGTTCATCCAAAAAACATAAGCTAAAAAAGATACACTACAAAATTTTAAATTTCTCAAAATGTGTTTATTACCCAGTAATTCGTTGAGTTTCTTGAGTGCAGCCTAACAATAAAATCAGTGTATCTGCATGTTTGTATTGTTGACCAGCTTAAAAATTTGTTACTAAGTATATTTTGTGAGTTCTGAGTTTTGTTGAGCTAAGCAAGGCAGTCTGATTTTTCACCCAGCTAAAACATTGTAATATATATGCAAGGGTAAAGACAATATTTCATTTGCTTTGTTTGTGGAAAAGCCCTTTGAGACTCATAGTATTTTAAGATATATACATATATACCAGACCAAACTAGAACTAAAAGTTTAAAACCTCTGAGTTCTAAAACATGAAGTTCACAGGATTTTAAATAAGGGTTATTGCATTTATTTTATTAATTTAAAGCCAATATTGAATATCATTCAATTAAATTTCAAACTAAAAAAGACATATTGATGTAATATATTATTACTATGTTTTCGGTTCAAATCCAATTTATATTATAATATGCTTTTTTAAAAGTTGACAAATTATGTTACAATAGTGACATAATGGCATAATTTGAAAGTAGTGTCTATTTGTAAACTTGAATGAAATGTGTGCTTTTTGGAAACACTTTTGCTGAAAAGATTATTTTTATAAAAATGATACATTTAATTGGAAAATTGGCATTTTTTTTTTGCAATTTTGTTTTTAAAATTTGTATTCAATACAGGAATGAGTATTAATTGAAGTCTACATTTGTCTCTCTAAGCTAGTGTAGTCAATTTCAAGAACTGGTTCAAACAAGTCTCAAGATAAACTAAAAATTACTTATTTAAAATATGTTTTATATATCTGCCAAATGGTCCATTAGTTTTTGGACTACAAGAGAATGAATGAATTTCATGCCTACTATTCTGTCAGAAGCAGATAATGAGGAAAAAATCTTTTTCTTTGTAAAAGAAATATATCATGATAAAACATATATCCTGGATTCTTCTACAGATAACTATACATGAATTAAATAGAATGATTATGTATTCAGTTTCATCTACTTTTTTCATAACTGTTATTTATATAAGCTTTGGTGTTTACTAAGACAAAGAAAATTAGAGAATTGAGGCCGCTATACAGAAAAATCTTAAATTTCATTTTGTCCCTCAATTACATGATACTTAGGGAGAGAGAGTATATCCTGTGGTGGAAAGAACTTTGGAGTAAGACTGGAAAATCTAATTTTGAGTACAGATAGTGTTGTGAACTATGACAATGGACCTGTCACACAGCTTGCCTGGTCTTCAGTTGTCTCATCCACAAAATGGGCTAGATTTAAATTCACATAAGGCCTTTCTACTTCTTTAGGATTCCATTTCAAGGAAAGCCTTTTTTTTTTTTTTTTGGTCTGAATTCTACTCTACATTTCATGTAAAGATGGTGTGTCAATTGGTATCACAGTAAGATAGAAGCTTTTACATAGTATTCGCAAACATTTTGTCTTGGTATCAAACAAGAAAATGGTCTTTAAGATTTTTACTTAAATTCTTAAAGCATGAAGCACATGGAAATATTTGTTGCTTTTTCACACTTCACTTTTTATTTGAAGCTTTGTAGAGAAAAAAGCCCCAAAAGAATGATTTATGAATTCATTCTAATGTGTTATCATGGGAGGACATGTATATGTGTATCTGTATAATAAATCTGAAGCTCCTCAAACCATATATCTATCTTCATAAGCATTTTAGTCTAATGAGGCCAGATCATAATGCTATTCAAAGTTGATATACATGATTGTAGTGGATAAAGAATGAATATGAACACTTGGCCTCTAAAAATATTTACTCCTTGTATAAATGTTTATGCTATTAAATTCAATTATAATATTTGGAAGAGCAGGAAAATTCCTGTTTTTTCCCCCCATTCTGTTAAAAGGAGCATTAATTGTCTAGTATATTTAATTCTTCTAAAATGGTTTAGTCTTTTAAAGTATCCAGTTCAGTGTTTGGCACATAGTAGGTGCTCAAAATATTTATTAATTTTGTGAAAGCAATGATATCCTTTTAGGACATATGTTAATATAAATTTTACATTTTTTCATAATTTTTAAAGTCACTATTATATAAAATGATTGTTGCACTGCATATATTTAAGCTTAACTTAATGTTAACATAAATTTTAAATCTCAAATTTGTTTACTAGTAGTGTAGTTATCCTTTGCCAGGAAGGAAAATACATTCTCTCTACTTGATATAACTTTTAAATAATGGAACAATCCATGAGAACATTGCTTTCAAGCTAGTATTCTTTTTGAAACTCCAAGTAGCTGTTTAATCTACTATTGAAATAGAATAATTTTACTCCATGTGAATGTTACCTAAGGTATTTTATTTAACATTTAATGTATAAATATTTGTAAGAATTTATATAGTTTCAAAAAGTAATCAGTGGAAATGCACTTTATGCAATATAATAGTTACTGTGATAGGTATGCTTTTAAAGCTAAAGATCTGTGTATTTTTTTTTATTTTTTAAAATTATTTACTAGGAAAGCAGGCCAAGTTGCAATTTTATTTTAAAGATGTGACTCTTTGGGATGTTCCATGTATAGTAAGTATAAGTTGACTTTTTAATCACAAAATAATACATCCATTTTCTAAAATTAAAATAATATGGTTTATCAGCTATTGCTTTATTCAGATAGTTTGCAGACTATCCATTCTCAGTTTAATTATGGGTATAAAACACTAGGTCTATTTAAAACTTTGATTCTGATTTGTGTGCTGAATGGAAGCAAGCATAAGAATAGAGATTTAAAGAGAAAAAATTAAAACATAAAAACTTTGAGAATACGTTCAATAAAAATTCTACAAAGTTTTCAAAAGTAATTGCCTTCAAATATATACCTGGGGGTAGGAATGTGAGACTTGGAAATCATTTATTCATACTTTTATTACAATATCTCATGTTCCTTTCTGTTGTTGGATGTAGTTGTCCATAAAACAGCTTTGAGATTTATTTAATATTATATATTAAAACAGAGTCAAATTAAGGAGATTCTTTACCACAAACAGATTTCTGTTAGTTGTGGATGCTATGTTTATTAAAAATAGTGAGTGATGTTAAACTTTTGAGGCGATTTCACATTTACATCTGGCAATTTGTGTAGATAACAATTGAATTTGACAAGAGACAAGGGACAATGATAGCAAGTAACAATGCTAACGATGTGGGCTGGAGTGAAGAATGTGCAGATTTTGGTGATGTAGTAAAGTATCAGTAATGAAATTCCTGGTGGCTGGTACCAGTACACCTTGGAAAACTATCAATTTCAGGAAACTTTAGAAGAGATCTTGTGGTACCCTTTACCCTGTTGTGATGGGTGGTGTTTAATATTGATTTTATATAGTTTATCTGTGTAGAAAGATTCTTTCATAGTATGAGTGACAACTGTATCCAAAAGTTCTTGCTTTCAAAGTCGTGCTCTGATATAGAACTGTGAATCAATTAAAATAGAAATAATCTCTGAGTAAAATAAGCTTAGCTCATCTCTAGAAAATTGAGAAAGGCAAGAAATCTGGATATTTCTCAAATCAAAAGAAAGAACAACAGTCTGAAAAGGCAGACTTCTAAAAATTGAGCCTTGGGGGACATGGCTTAAAAGATGGATTTTTTATCAATTTGTCTATTAGAAAAGATATGTATGATACTTGAATTTATGCCAGAAGTAAACCTGGGAGGATTTGTTAAGACAGTATTTCCTGATATAAAGTATTGACACTAAGAGTTTAGTTTTTCCCATTCACTGTAATTGATTTAGATTTTAGAGGGGAAGGCTATTTGTTAGTTAAACATGATAAAGATAGAGAAGATTGACATGTTTCTCCTTGTCTAACTTGGCCTTTATTTCCAAATACATAACATTCCCACTTGATAATTTCTTTGCTTTTAATATGATTATTTTCCATCCCTATATCCACATGGAATACAAAGTTTCAAAAGTCTTTGCTAAGCTCATAGTAAATTCATATGATATTTAATTGTCACTATAAATTTCTATTTCAGATCTAGTTCTTTGGTATGTAATATAACTTCCATGTTTCCCATATGAAGTCCTGGCAACACATAGAATCCAAGTAACTTCTCCATGGACACCCAGATAATAATTGGAACCCATTTTATATGCCCTTGTTGGGTGTTTTCTTTCTAATGCGTGACACTAAAACTTCACTAAGTGTTGAAGCTTTTCTCACAACATTATTCTTCCTATTGTCTAACACTAGTTCTTGTATTTTTCATACTATTCAGTGATATTCTTCCCCAATTAAACTTTTCAAAAACTCTTGTATTGTATATATAGACGTGAATATATCAACAGATTCCAAAGGTCTCTAGTCTGCTTGTACTAAGGATTTTTTAAATATTGGAAAATTTTATAGGCTATGTTAATATAGAAACAGAAATGAATCATAATTAAAGGAATAACTTGATAGTTTACCCTAGTTGAAAATATTTTAGTAAAACAAGGGAAATGTTAATCACAATTACATCAATTCAATTTAATAAGCTTCCAAATGCAAATGTTGACTAAAACGTTGGATACAAAAATATTTGTCATGCAGTATATTCAATGAAAAATTTAAAGTAACATTACTAAATAACAGTGATCCCATGATGTTCTCATACCAAATAATGGAAATAAAATCACATTTTCATATACAATTTAAAATTATATTTACTTTTACTTCACTTTTTAAATGTTCAAAGCTATCTTGTTGAATAAAGAAGGACAGATCAGCTCTTGGATCAGAACAGAATCAAAGTAAAATTCTCAGTTTTACAAAACCCTTGTCCACTTCTGTTGTGATCTTTATGAAAATTGCATGGTGATCTGCCTCTGACACATCTGGGTTACTCGTAATGCTAACCATTTCAGGGTGTGAGAAGGAGATTTTTCACTGTGGGTTCACCCAACTTATCAATCATGAAGCATGCTCCTTATACATAAGTTGCTTAACAACAAGGATACATTCTGAGAAACACATCCTTAGGCAATTTTGTCATTGTAGAAACAACATAAAATGTACTTACAGAAACCTACATGGTATAGGCTACTACACACCTAGGCTGTATGGCAGTCTACTCCTTCTAGGCTAGAAACCTGTACAGCATGTTACTATACTGAATAATGTAGCCACTGTAGCACAAAGGTAAGTAATTATGTATCTAAATACATCTAAATATAGAAAAGGTATAGTAGGAATACCTATTACAAGTTTAAGGGGCCATCACTGTATATGCAGCCTGTCGCTGATAGATATACCGTTATGTGCCATATGACTACCAATCAGCACTCTGTCACAGCAGTGAGGGTTCACTAGAAAAAGTGTTGTAACTATCTTTGTTTTAAATTCATCAAAACAGAAAGTTGACATCCTTTTGACCATTTAATCTCCATCAAAAGGTTTTCCTATTTTATTAATTATAAACAATAACTGTAAATAACTATGTTCATTGTTTTTCTCAAGTTTTTAAAAAATATTGTAGATAAAATCCCAAGATAGGTAGGTAGATAAACAGACAGACAGACTGGCTTTTTAAAATCTATTTTGGTGCTCAAATGAAAATAATCCAGTGGAAAAATTGGCTCTGAGAAGCCCAACATAAAATAATCAATATTTTGTCCAAAGAAAAATCTTTTATGGATTCACGTTATTTGGTCAAGAACAAAATACTTTAAAATGTGTAAAAGATAGATTTTAATCTTAATACCAGCTAATTAAGCTTTTTCTGTACAATATACAGTTTTAAGTTAACAGTAATTAATATAGCCAGCTTGGAACCTCAGGAAGCTAAAGCCAGAAAGTGCTTTTTGGTTCACTCGAGAGGATGTGGTTTGATTGCTGGCGCCAGTAAACAGGTTGGGAATTGTCAACATTGTAATTAGCAGCAAGTTTCTGGATTCTCTGCCTGCCAGACTAGTGGGCTGATGCTTGGAGCAGTTGCCCCAGTGGGGAGAGGGAAAAACAAAGGAAGGGAATTTGAGCAACCTTGGCAGGCTCTGTCAGCATATGCCACTGGACCAATGTTTTTCTTGGCAAAGGTCTATTTTAAGACATCTAGCAGTGGTTTCCACAAAATATGAAACTCACCATAGCAACCAAAATGGCAAGCGTCTCTAGGAACCTTTCCTTGATTGGGTATCAGGTCAAACTGTTCAAAGTGGTATTGCCTTATGTGCAGTGTGCTCTGTACTGTGCACAATGTGGTTATTAACAATACAATTAAAAGAGTTAAAATCTGTTTTGGCAGCAATCCTTAAATACTCTGCCTCTGCTGAAAAGCCTTCAAAGAATAAGGTTATGCAAATCTTATTAACCCTTTGTGTAGTACAAATAGAAAAGAAATGTCAATCTTAATTCCACCAAGCATCCAATCTTCACTGCTTACTTAAATGATAATTTCAATCTAGTTTTCTTAATTCCAAGCCATGTGATTTTTATGGAGAAAGGCTGTCATAGATTTTAAAACCGTATTTGCAGTGACTATAAGATGAGGACATCAGTAAAGTTTATAGGTAATTTATAATCCAACTGAACAAAAATTAGACTATCTTTTTAAACCTACCTAATAAAAGTTCGTATTATATCTCTATAGACACATATGTAAAATTTTACTGTCTTAGAGTATGATCTAAAATATACAACATATATGCTCTGAGTAGTCACAGGATAAATACTGACCCACCTATTTTGTTGCAAAAGCACGATAACAAACCCTTTTGCTATTTTTTTAAAGCAGCTCTGTAATAAATTAATTTTTCTTTCTAGTGAAAAAAAAGTTCATGGTTGCTGAGCATTGCTAAAATATACACGTTAATTTCTCCAAAATAAGTGGTTGGAGTCATATCACAGATATTCTTACTGTCACTCCCTATCTTTGCTAAAATGTGAGGAGGAGTTTCAAAAAGATAAACAGGATACAGAAAGACAAACAAAATAGCTTTCTTTACTGTTTAAAAAAAGTCCTCAAATGGATCAATGTGCTATATTAAGCAGTTGCCACGTGGTGATTTCTGCAGGTGGATTATCAAAAGTGCACGAAAATGGCTGTGTAGATCTGGCACCCAGGTGTCTGGTGTAGCATTTAGCGGACTCTTTTGTGGGGAGAAGGATTACTCATTTGTTGGAGAGAGTTCAGTTCTCTAATCCTCCTCCACAACAGAATCCATGTTGGAGTGAACAAGCAACACGATTCTTATCCACTCTCTCTAGACTCTGAGGAATGCTCCACAATTATTTATTATTTTCACTGGAATTAGATGCCTACAGGTGGCCCCATAATGTGCCTCCAGGCATACAACCTGCTGTAAATTTTTAAGTTACATTAACTCAGCAGTATGTTGTCTTATAACGACAGTTCATTCAGTTTATGGGGAAAGGGAAGGAAGCAGAAAGGCAGTCTTTCGTGTTAAGCATCATTACAGCTCTTTGCCTGTTCTTTCTTTGAAGTTGGTAAACGATATTTGGCAGAAGCAACACTCCTGGAGTGCTGGTGTGCTGGTGTAGGCTATGTCTCCTGATAGATTCAGAAAGGAGGTCACAGCCTCCAGGCCTCTGTATCATATCCCAGGGCCAGATATGTTCATGGGTGTCGGTATTGAAAACAGAGGCAGAGCAGTAGGACTTTTTCTTTTTTCATTCTTTTTTCTCTGTTTCCCTTTCTTTTTGTCCCTCCCTCCTTCCCTTCCTCTCTCTCTTCCCTCTTTTTCTCCCTTTCTTTCTTTCTTGGGTCTTTAAGTGACTTCTATTACTCAAGTGTTTTGTCATTAGTGGTCTTTCATATTATGTCAGAAAAAAAATCAGTTTAGCTTTACTGAGATCGTTGGGCTCATGATGCTATTACAATTTCACCCCATCACACACATCCTATATTCTGCAATTGTTTTTTCCTGAGTATATGGGTTACCCTCAGTGAGAGAAGGAGGGAACTGCTTCATAACTTTTGGTCATTGAGTTTTATGCCCATCCTTTCTTTGTAATGGTGCAGTTGTCACTGATGGATACAGTTAATTCCCTTGCATATTTTGGGGTACAATTCTCAGAGCTGATGAAAAAACAAAGATAATATTTGAATTAATGTACTTTAGGAGTCAAAATTAGTGGAAACATTTTCAGGGGCAAGACACAAGTCTATTTAAGCCTCAGAAATCCTAGTACTGGGTTATAAAACTCCTTCTTACAGCAATAAACAGAGTAATATCTGTCTCCCACCAATCTATTCTCGTTACACCTTTAGCTTATATTACAAGTAACAATCATGATGTGTATGTTTTAAATATATATTTTATATGTACAAAGTCATATTATTAAAAAGTACACAAAACTTTTTAAATGTTAAAACATTTTTATTGAAATTCCTGTATCACAGACATAGGCAAACTTAGTAGCCTAAGGCCATTTGGACACTTGCAAAGTTATCTGCCTTAATACATGTACAACTAGACCAGCCCATCTTTCATTTTATAGCAAGGGATGAACTTGCTGAGAAAAAGCAACTTGTATATTCAAAAGAACTAGGATGTCTTTCAGAATAAGTCATTAAATATCCATTACGCATGTACTATTTATGAAGTGTGTGTTCAGGTCTGTCAACATTTTTTAGGGTCCTACTATGCACCTGGTATTCTTCTAACTGCAGGGGCTACCAAGGAATAATGAACAGACCCCCTTGAAGCCTCCATGATGTACAAGACCTCTTACAATTCAGGCTGTTAGAGCCTTTGTGGGGAAGTCAAAGGAATGTAAAGCAGAATCCTCCTTTCAAGGAGCTGACTAGGATGTGGTTAATATTAAATATTAAACTGTATGAAAGTGGTTGTTTCTACAAGCCCTTACTATTGTCCCTTCACCAGAAAATACTTACATGTCACAGATATAATAATAAGTCCTTTCTAGAAATGGATTTGTCTTCTCTTTTTTCCCTTAAAGTATGGAAAGTCTTTCAGAACTGAGTAGACTAAGGAAGCACCAGTTTGGAAAAGAATAATATACATACTTTTTCACATCAAAGCAATAGTTACTGTATAACCAATTCTAAGTTATATAACACCATTTATAATGACACATAATTATATTATCCCAGGACAAATTATTCCTGTATCCATAGTTATCAGAGAATATGATTTAGATATTGTAAAATGATAGTGCTTACATGTAATTTCCAAATTCATTAATATTAGATTTTAGAGTCAATAAATGTCCTTTGAGAACATGATGATAGGCATTATAAAAGAAATTGCTGAACACACTATGTTATACTTCAGAAAGTGGTTCTCAAAATGGGGCCTTCTAGTAGTGGCCTGAGTGACACCTGGGAACTTGTTAAAAATGCCTGTTCTCAGACCACCTAACAGGCCCACTGAATAAAAAACTCTGAACCCTAATCTGAGTTTTAACAAGCCCAATTCTGATGCCTGCGAGAATTTGAGAACCATTGCTTCCTACTGATTTTTTAAAAATCACAAAGTCAGGTTCTATGCAACACTGACCCCACGCTGACCCAATTTAGGCTCTCTTGTAGATTTAAAGTTGCAAGTTATTATTAATAAATAAACCAGATATTTTAAATTAAAAATTATGACTTTGTCTGGTAAATTCTACCTTTGTGAAATATTTTAATCCCTCCAAAGATTATATTTCAGCTTAATTTTATAAAAGGCATACAATATTGAATAAGATCTTTAGATTTTGTGTGTGTGTGTTATTGTCTCATGGATTATTATTGGAAGTTTTCTCATTCATCTATGACACAAATAATTTTTAAATTCCCATGGAAGGGAATTGCCCTGACAAAATTATTTGAGCACTTATAAATTGTTCCAGCATTACAATAGCATAAAATAAGTTTCCTAAAATCTGTATTGGAACTGTATTTAATAAAAATTTACTTAGAACATAGGTGATTATATAATAGTAAAAATGAATGTTATTGGTTAAGCAGTTAGATTATATAGGTTCTCATTATGCCAACTGGAAATTGTTTTACAGAACTACAATATGTTCTTACTTCAAACCACAGCTTTTTATTGAAGCTTTCATAAAAACATTAGAAATTCAAGCCTGGACTGTTTAAAACGCAGCTCTAAAATTTAGTGAATTGTTTCTTGTTTAGTGCTTTAAATTAAAATATAAAAGAACAACTGTTAAGGCCATATCATTATGGATTGTAAGACCTAGGCTAGTCCTTTGACCCTTAAATGTTAGCTTTTGTGTTTAACAAAAAATATAATATCAAGCCACCTTGAATTTAACACTGAAGTAACTGGCTGACAATGTCAATGGGCTTTTTCTCAGTCCAAAGTCTTCCTTACATTAATGAAACATCTTGTTTGCTTATGTCAATGCATGAACTTAGTCATATACATTACAGGATGCCAGGATATAACAAAGAATTAATAATATTTTTTATTAAAAGTGCAGCTTTGGGGGGGTTTCTCTTTGTTTGAATCCCCCCCTCCCTCTGTGTCTGTCTGGGGGAGCTGTTTTCTTTTTCCTTTCTTCTTTCTTGCCTATTAAACTTTTCACTCAAAAAAAACAAAAAAGGAAAAGTGCAGCTTTTACTAACATGTGAACACAAAAGGTAACCTCCTGAGTAGCAATAAAATCACCTAAGGAAGAATTATGTATGCCATTGAATAATAAATTCTGTGGTATTTTACTTTGTATCCCTAACACATTGATGTATTCCATAATATTCTGTTTTCTCAAACAGTTATCTTTACAGTTGTTCATTATTCAGCTGTATAATAGATCTTCCTCTCACTAAAATTACATTCTGAGTATAAGCATAGAAATGTACAGAATATGATTTTATGTCCTTTTCACGGTAGAGGTAAGTAACACTGTCCAAACTTACAAACTTAAGAGAGTCACAGTGGGGGAACAATTTATGCACACCCAGTTTAGATAGAATGATTGACAGGAAATATGTAAGAAATTCAAGTTATTCTTATGGAGGGAAAAAAAGGTCCATTATTTTGACAGTTAACATTTTAAGATTAAGCACTTTGAATTAACCAGAAAGGAAAATAAAAGCATTTTAGTAGGCATATAGTTTGATGGATTTAGTTATTAAATTAAATAGACACTAATTTAAAGGTTACCACTTCAACCCTTAAACAAAGAGTGTTTTGACTGTACAAAAAGATGCAAATAAAGTACCAAATAGCTTATATTTAGGCAGAGAAGATACTTAAAATTCAGAAATGTCAAAAACAGCATATTCTTCTCTTGCATTTTAATTAAATGTTTCAGTTTATTTATCTTAAGTTTATCTTAAGTTGTATGGAGGATTAATTGTACTCATTATTTTGCTTTTAATGGTTTACATATTCTTTTTTATGTTAACAAGTGTTATTTTAAACATTTTATAAAGGAAAAGTTACTTTGAAAAAAGTTGTTTAATATCACAAAACCCATTGTGATCTTTCTCAAATGAGTTATAGATTTCTTTCTTTGCCTACATCATTTTTTTGTATCCTGTGGGCCTATATCATTGATAATCCCATACATTATTATATTAAGAGCAGGAAATCTTATCAGATGTGAGCTTATTAATTATTGACAATAAAACATTAATAGTTTAACATTTCAGGAAAGCTCAACATGTTTTACAAAATTGATTTATTAATATCTCTTAGCCATTTTATTTACAGACTACTACCTTATGTTATTTAGATTTTTTAATATGCCTATAAAAGTAGATTTATGACAGAGATAATTTTAAATTACTCAGCTAAAAATGTATTATTTTATACTTATTGAACTCTAATTTTACATAAAGTTTTGTGACTTGTACTATGTGAAATCTTACAATTATAAAAGATAATATTTAATCTACTTCTAATAAATTTAAAAATGCATGACGGTTTGCATTAGGTTAAGAAGTATAATCAAAATTTTTATTTATAATAGAAAACTGTTGCAGTTATAATTATATGCTAAATCTATACATTTATAAAATATTTATTAAGGCAAAACTTATAATAATTTTAGTTTTTAGATACTTGGTATAAGAGTTCACAGTTTTCCTGAATTTTGAATTATATTTCATCTCCTAAAACTTTCAAATAATATTATTATAATGTACATTTTCATTTAAAAAAATTGCAATGTTTGATCATACAGGGAAAGATAATTGAAGAAAGAGTTACTAAGGAAATAAAAGTGAAAATACACTTTGGTCAAGTATTAAAATTAGCATACTAAAATGGAAATTTTTATGTATAAGCTGTTTATTAAATCAAAGTATTTCTAATACCTTTCTTTTCTGTTCTTTCATTTTGATCCATATCAACTTTAATGCCACAACTGGCTCACTAGTAAGTATCAGGCAAGATCATAATTTAGCACTTACCTCAAATTACATGAAAATCGAATCCAAAAATGGCATACTGCAACCAGGTCTACTTTCATGTATCAAAATGGATTGCTGTACATTATAAATGATACTCCCTGATGTTTTTGCAATGATTCATGAAACTATGGGGCTGACATTTTAGTGCAAGGAATTCCATAAATGTTAATAAAGCAGGAAAACGAATCCCAAAGCGCTAGGTATTAAATAACTCTAATCTCTTTCTACTACTAATGCTATTTGTAATGCTTAAAAAAATATCAAAATACAATACAAAATATCTTATACTAAATGAATGGGAATTAAATGTTGCAAATCAAAACTGAGCTATGATAAACGATGGTCACATGATAATTAAGCTTTTGCTTTCATATCTCTTAGTATAACATAACCACTTACAAAGTATCCTATCTTTAGGTTGATTTAGCATCTTAGCCTGACATAGAAACAATTAAAAAATATAAAGAATTATCATGGATATCTTTTTGATTTTATGTGATACATTTCTTAAAAGAAACTTTGAATCAAGTTTTAAATTCTGTACTGATTCATTAGCTTTTACCCTAGTTGATCTGGGTTTCTCAATCTTTAGAATGGAATCCCTCATCTCACATGGAAGCCATGTTATTTAGTTATATGTATTTAGATTCATTTTAAAATGTAAAATAATGTTTTTAAGATCTTTCACTTGTTAATTATGCTTAATAATTTATTTAAAAAACTAGGCTGATTATGTCAAAGATGCCACTATTTATTTTTAATCAAGAGTTAAAAATTTAGTTTGACTTAAACAATTCTAAAATGATTTCCCAAAATGTTTGGTACATATTGGTTATTGTTTTCATTTTTGCCTCTCTAAATTTACATGTTTACCAGTAGAAAGTACACTTACGGTAAAAAAAAAATATATCATTTTGTTTATATCAATTTTTTCTGAAAGAATTAGTTTCATTTTTATTTCTCTCCATTTTTAATAGGAGGTACGTTTATATGAATTTTTTAATTTTACTTTTATTATAATACAAAATTGCACTCATTTAAGGATTAAAGTTCATATTCTGAAAGGGCATTTCCTTTATTTTTATTTTGCCCTACACATAATGATTTGCTTTCTGTGTCTAGACCTAAATGGATATAGAAATTATTTTGAAATAAAAACATTAGTTTTTAATATTTAAGTTCCTTTAGTTATATTTTACAGAGCTATTTATGTATTATTAAACATTATACATACATATATATTTGGTTTACATTGATTTATGATTAATTGTATTTCCAATCTGTCTTTATCATAAATATTATGTGTTTTTCCCAGAGTATCTAGTTTTAAACAAAAAGTAACCTGTCAATGTGAATCTTTTGGTGTAGCATATTTGAAATTTTATCTACAAATAGATGCAGATGGAAGTATACTTACTTAGTATTTATTATGGTCTCAATTTCTGTGAATTTCATGCTCACTTTTCCCCTTCATTTCTTTTTGCAAATGGCCACTTTGTCATATGTTTTAACTGTAGGAAGATGAAAAACTCTAAAAGTGCTCACCATCAGCATAAAGTGAGACATTTTGAGCTCTACTGTGCAAAATGAAAGCATAATATTCACTGCAAAGAAGGCTTAGAGTTCTATTATCCTGTCATTTATACTTAGAGGCACTTCAGTTTCTGGAATAGGTTAAACAAAGGAAATTTGGAATGGATGTCTCTTTAAAATTTTGAAAAACTGGAATCCTGAGGCTGGTAGACTACTGAATACCTTCGACCATCTTCCAGATAATATCTGGATGGAGGATAATTTGTGATGTAATAAACTGTAAGTGTCAAGATACATGAGCATTAAAAAAGGAAGCTGATTTTGTGATGCCACTTATATCACCTCCACTAAGGGAATAGGTCAGCACACTGCAACTGATTTCCCATTTCTGCAAAATAGTACAGTTCTGCTTCATACTCTGAATTTGGGATTTCCTGTTGAAGTCAAAACTAGGTCTATGCTGTCCTGAAGGGTCAGTAACAAAATAGGTTGTGATTATGGAAGCAGTATCTCTGGACTCACTGCCAAATCCTCCAATCCTGGGTGTTGATTTGACCTGTTATAATAGAACTTCACAGGGTGAAATATCTCCTCTCAATCCTTAGTCCTGATGGATTCTGGGTCCATATGTATGAAGGCTCTATCTTTGAACGGATGTCTTTGAATCAACAATAGAATTGTTTTGAGAGTTTAGTGCTAGAAGAGACTTAAGTGGTCATTTCATAAAATCCAACTTATTTTAAAGATGACAAACTGAGCTTAGAGATATTACAGTTTTCTTTTTCAAGTAAAAGTCCTGCTAATAGTCATAACTCTGAAGTCATGGATCAGTTCATCACATATGTGGTTTGACCTATCAAGCATTCATCACTACCATCATGATTGTTACTACAAAAGTGATTATTATTACAAAAATATTTCTTCCTCACCTATAGTTTATCCCTAATTTCCTATTATTTACTTGATCACTGGATATCTCATGGAACTTATTTAATTTATAAGGTGTTTTAATGTCTTTAATTTAAAGTAAATGTATTGTTCAAACGTAACATGACAAACATTGAATTCTTTTTCCCTTTATGAAACATAGAGTCTGGAAGGACAACTCTATGTCCAGTTATTAATGCTAATACGTATACTAACATTAAAAATAACTGATTTTCAAGTTCAGTGCATCTACTTGTTGGCATTCACATGATGGCACGGTCTCCTCCTTTTCTGTGCAAATCTGATTAAGGGGTTTCTCCTGCCATTGTTTTACATGCAAAACTTCCGTTCCATTTTGACAACAATCCTCTTTACACAAGGACCTCAGGGTTGAACACTGAAAGTACCTAACCATTACTGAATATTGAATCATGTCTTTTCACATAAAATTGCAAATATGGTTTGAGAGCCAATTTTCAGATTACTTTGGTTGAGTAGGACTAATTACTTTTAAACTGGGGGCAGCCAGGGTCTGCCAAAGCAGTGCTGAATTTTTCCAATGTTAGGCGAGCTCTACCCATCCAGAGATTGTCTCATACTGAAGTGCTGTAAGATTATTCATGCTTGTAGTAATGATTAACTATAAAAATAATGCCTATTGCAAAAGATCATAATAGCAGTAGCTATAGTTTACTGAATGCCTATCATGGGGCAGGCATTGTGTATAGTATCTATTATTTCATTTCATTTCCTCCTGAAAATAATGTTATGTGAGGTATTATTATTTTCTAAATGAATAAAAAAACTGAGTTTCCAGACGAGTCTGATAAAAACATCAGTTTGCAAAGTAGAATTGAGTTCTATTCCTGCTATCTGAAATGTGACCACAGGATCAAAACTTAGTACGTCATTTCCCTCCTCTGCAGAATTAGGTGACAGAACTAGCTTTAACTTTCTGTGATTTTAAAAAGCTCAAAGCAGTTTATTATTTTTTTGAGAAAAGGGAAAAAATGTTAAAGCCTTCATAGTAACAGTATCACTGAACAGTATTTATCTGGTATTTTCCACATTCTCATCTGATTTCATGGCTTCAAACACAGAACAAAATCCTCATTAATATAAAAGGAAGTCCATATTCTGACCAGATCAGTGAAGCACAGAAAAAGATATGAAATTCACTTACAATGGATCAGACTCTTACAAAGTTTGAATTTAGCAACATGCATTTATTGTGCTGTGTATATGAAAAATTAAATGGATGATGTGAAGCAAGGTGGGAATCTAGTACAAGCATAAAGGATATTTACAGTATGTGTGATGAAGCATAAAAATACATTTTTCTCCTTCAAAAAGCAAAATGTTGGATATATTCCTATAAAACACCTTAGGCTATATCAAGAACACTATACTTAAATACTTAAGTACATTTACATACTATTTATGTAAATGTATTGACTTAATCATAGCAGCTCTAGGGATTCATGATAAGCTGTGAAAATTGTCTATAAAAGATAAGTGAATGACCCTTTAAAATAGAATAAAAATTAATTATAGCACACCAGCAATTTTAAGCACATATACATACCATTTTGAAAATCTGTGCTTTTGCAATGTTAGCAGTTCCTTATATAGTTCTCAGTGATGCATCCACATCACATATACAGTCTCCTAAACATATTGTATTTTTCTTAGAACATCAAACAGCATTATGTCCCGTGTCAATTTTGTAATATTTTGATAGAACAAAATATGGTATAGTAAGCTGACATATTTTCCTTCATTGAAGTATTCTTTTGTGTGTAAACTCTTTACAGATTTTTCTCACCATTTTCTCCTTTTCTAAAGTTGACAAAAATGTAAATGATGGCAAAATGGAAAGAATTATCACTTCTTTCCAAAATTATTACTCTGTGCTTTCATATTGCTATTGTGTAAATATTGACATAATTTCACAATTGTTGTATCTGAAATAATAATAAATAATTGCTCCCACTTGGAAAAGAATGATTTTTTTTCAAGCACTTATATCAATATGTCACTTACCCATTGTGAGCAAGTAAGAATTGTGGCAATGAAAGGTATGGTTAAGTTTTTTTCACTCATTTGTTTATTTAACATGTATTTATTGAGCTTTACTATTTGCCAGGCACTATGGAAGGCACAGAACGGCATTGCTAAAAGAAAAAAGACAAAGTTGATACCTACATGAAGCTTACAGTATGATGAGAGCGATGAAAAACAAACCAAGAAAGAGAATCAGTGATTACAAATAGTGAAAACTTTCATAGAGGAAGTTCACACCCAAGAAGATAGAGATAAATTAGGGAGGCCAATTTAGATAAAGTAGAATGGGGATCCTTCTGAGATACTAAAAGATAAAAATAAAACTAATGCTTGATGAAGTGTTCTAAGCCAAGGCAATTCCAAGTACAGAGACATTGAAACATATCAAAATATTTTAGTAATACATTCTCTGGTTTGTCCTTCAGTTTCATTAATTAGCATGAGTCTCAGAAAAATTCAAACTCTTTGTGCAAAGATTTCCTAAAGAGATATAAGGCATTTTTGAAAAGCTGTAGTAATTTGGAAAACTAAAGAAATTACTCTTTAAAAATAGCTTTAAGAGTCAGAAAATATTTAATACTTAAAATATTATTCTTCACTGGATATTATGTTTTTAAGAAACTTCAATCTCTTATAGCAACGATCTCTGGATTTCCTGTGTTTGTAATAGCATATGAGAAAGATCAAGGTGTTTTTATACAATGTGAATCTTATTCTGATAATTTTCTGTCCTTAGCGTAGTAACTGCTTTTTATTTATTCTTATTCTCAATGAATGCATTGGATTTCCAAAATATACTATATTTGAGGAAGTCAGGAAAAATAGAAGTTATTTATCAAAAGCATCTAAAAGTATTTTTATGTATTTTATGTATTTATTTTTATGTATTTTAGTATTTATTAAAACTCATTATTTTAGAAAAAATTACATGGGCCATCTCAAAGACTGATTTACTAAAGTATCCTGTTATTGGGTTATACATAGGTGCTAGTTAGAGAGTGTTTTATTTTGTCTTGAAATATTTAGCATTCCAAAAATAAATAATGTTTTCAAAAGCTATTATAGACGTTTTTATGAAAATACATTTTTATCAATTGACACAAAAATTCATGATAATTGCATCATATATTTACACAACTCCATAACAAATACATACAAAATAAAAGAAAAAAACAATGAAGTTGGTTTGTGTACATAATGTAAGGATTTGTCTTTTTTAACTATTTAAAAATTTTCTTTGATTCAAATATTCTTAATTGACTGGTACTGAGTGACAAGAATTAAATATAAATTGAATTAGTTTAATAACTTTGTATTTTCCAATTAAATGATAATGCTATCAGATTTAAACTAAAACTGGTATATTCTATGAATCTTTTAGCTTAGTACTTGGAGGAGGTACTACCCAGTCTTCAGAATAATTCTTACAGGTATAATTCTTATTTATTTATTTATTGGTTTATTGAGACAGGGTCTTATTCTGTCACCCAGGCTGGAGAGCAGTGGTGGGATCATAGTTCACTGCAGCCTCCAACTCTTGAGAATAAGTTATGCTCCTGAATTGGCCTCCAAAAACACTAAGCTTCCAGGTGGAAGCCATCATGCCTGGCCCTAATTCTCATTCAGATACTACCCTACTGCACAGATATCAGTTAAATATCATTTTCGATCAGTTTTGAAATAAATTTAGAGCTTAACAGGAAGCCAAAACATCTCTCCTGACATAAATGTAAGACAATCCAAATCCATTTTGAAGAAGATAAATTCTAGAGCAAGGATTTTGTAAAAGTTGCAGATATAAAGAATTTCTCAGGAAGCTTGTAAAATAAGACGTGCAACAATAATTTAACCTAAAGGCTAAAGCTTGAAAGACAAGGGTAAATTTTGATCACAATCTAGAAATTGTAAAATAAAGCTTTGCCCAAAGAATGAATAGACACCAGATTAGAGTCATGAATGTCCCTTCTGTTTTTACATAGTATTAGAAGGAGGGAATAATTCATTCAGATACAATTTTTACAGGTATCACACAAATGATGTAAGCTGAAAATTATATTTCCGTTTCAGTTAAGATTTATTGTTAATGTTTGGAGCCAGCTAGAAGTGTTTCTACTTATACAACAAATGATATCATCGAATACATCTCAGTAACTCTTGTGTGAAAGATCAAATGGAGTAGATTTTTCTATGCAGATCGTACTTGAGGAAAATATGAAGGCATTATTGACATGGAACTCACCTGGCAGGGTAGGAGTCTTTCCATGGTTTCATATTTCCTTATGAATACCTTATGGTATCTATGATGTCAAATGTAATTACTGATTTCAGACCTATGCCTTCTTCACAAAGAATTTCATGCATACACAATTTTGGATAACTAACAGGGTAAAGGGTCTCTTCTAAATCTCTGGTAGATACTCAGTAACTGTGAAATGAAATGATAAATGAATGAATGAGAAGAGAAAATAAGGAAATGTAACTAAGATAAAATTAAAGTCAGCTACTCATAAAACGGGAGCTGGGTAGACAGGGAAAAAAAATCATTTTCTCTCATCATTTTACCAAAACATGGAGAAATGGAGGCTGTTGAATGATACAGTAAGAAACTATAAATTTTTGGTGCTTCAAAATTCATTAAAGCTTGATATGCTTTGGTAGGAAGGCAAAAACAAAACAAAACAAAACAAAAAACAAGGGTGATAAACCATGATCTCCTTTAGGCATGTTTTATATATTCACATAAGGATATACATCACCATTGTCTCACTTCTATACACTCTTGCCTCAGATCACATCTATCTTTTGGTGTCATTATGATCTGATTCAATTTACACTAATTGATCCTTGTAGCCATGTTGGTCTGCCTCATTTTTCTGCAAAAATTTAATCTCATATGCTTTTTAATTTCAACAGTTGTCCTTCAAGGAACAAAGATGGTCTGTATGTAAGGATGCTGTTTCCGCTAAAATGTCATCTTAGCCAATATAGAAGGGTAAAAATAGAAACAATTTTGGATAACTAACACTGTAAGAGTAGCCATCTGCTTCTTAGAAAGATATAAATGTGTTTTCTTATTTCTTTCCTCAAACTAATCCAAAAGATTTATTTCCTGAAATCTGAGATTATGTTATTTACCCAATTGAAATATCTGATATTTTATGACCGAATAATGAACTTGCAAATACCTTGGATGAACTTTAAATAACCCATCAAACGTTGTTGATGGATACTACATAGAATGATCCAGCAGCCATCTGGAGACCCGTTGGACGATCAAGCTACCATTTTCCAGATTGAGAAAGCAATCAAATTGAGGAAAATGGGAAGAGTACCACACCAGATGGTATTCCAGCTGAACTATACAAGTGTGGGTACACAGCAAATAGTGAATACTTTCACCACTTGTTCAAAACCATATGGACACAGATAAATGCAGATATTTGAGGGACACCTATTTCTTAAGAGAACAAAAGAGGGGATATCTTAGGGTACTAAGAGCTACTAGGTTAACGGATAGGAGACAGCTGATTTAAATTTTGTTAAATTCTCTGTTTTCTAAAATGATTTACTTTAGAATATTATAATCATGACAATGTCCTAAAACTTTAAAAAGTGTAATTCATGAAATAGTAAAATAAAAGTAATTTACAATATATTTGAAACATATTGAGTTAATTTCAACTGAATTTATTTTATCTTAAATCAAAGTTAATAAAAATGTAAACACTTTAAATTGTAATGTAAATCCCACGACATTAGAATATTTGAGATCATGGTCATTTTTCAATGAAATAAAGCAACCTAAAACACAAAATTTGTTGAAAGGCCTAGTATTTAGAATTATTTGGATTATAATATTATGTTGTACACACTTATTTCTATCACTAAGAAACATTCTAATCTTATAGAAGTCTATAGGCAAGATTTTGTTTTGCTTTGTTGTTTTGCGTGTTTTTTTTTTTTTTTTTTTCAGAATGGGGTCTCTGTAAAACAAAGCAAATTATTTATTTGCTACTTATTACAAAAAGTCTTGAGCAAGCTCCAGCAAAGCAGGGGACTCTATAAATACATATTCCTGCATGGTTTTAACCTCTGAAACATGTATCAGTAACACTTTACTAATTGTGCACCCCATGCAAATATTAGAAAGCTCAGCTAAGACAACAGACCTCTGAAGTAGATGTGAAATAAATGTGTGCATAAAGAGAAGATATAGGCTGGGCACATTGGCTCAAGCCTGTAATACCAGCACTTTGGTAAGCCTAGGCAGGTGGATCAGGAGTTCAAAACCAGCCTCGCCAACATGGTGAAACCCCATCTCTACTAAAAATACAAAAAAGTAGCCGGGCGTGGTGATGGGCACCTGTGATAGCAGGTACTCAGGAGGCTGAGACAAGAGAATCACTTGAACCTGACAGGCAAAGTTTGCGGTGAGCTGAGATCACACCACTGTGCTCCAGCCTGGGAGACACAGCGAGACTCTCTCTCTCTCTCTCTCTCTCTCTATATATATATATATATATATATGTATTATATATATATATATGTATTTTATATATATATATATAATATATATATATGTATTTATGTATATATATGGGAGCATTTGATTTTTCCTTATCTATGTTAGTTAATTCTTTCTACTAAGAATTTTATGATGAAGCAGCTGCTTGGAATGCTTACTGTAAATGGTACGTAGAGATAACTCCAAATAATAATTGAATCAATGAAACTTTTTAAATCCATGATGTCTTTTGCAGAATATGTTAGCATGCAGTACTACACTTATCTACATTGGTGTAGACTATAAGCTAGAGGAAACAGATAGGAAGCCTGTAGAGGTAATTTTCATAGATAGTATCTCAGAAACATGTATAAATGGTAGTTCGAATGCTATGCAAACAACTGAAATCTCACATTTAACTTTACAGGAAAGAAAGAAGTCAGAAATATGCTCTCCCACACACATACTGTCAACATTTCTTAAACACCCCAAACCAATTGTAAGTAAAAATTTGAAACCTCACAGTCACACAATGTAATTTATTTTTATACTGAGACTACCTCAGTTTTAATGGTGTTATATTTCTAATATCAAAAATGTATGCAGCATTTTCTTTGTGCCAGGCATGATGCTTAGCTTAAATGGAGTGTTTATTTCTCAATACACTCTGT